ACAGAAGTCCTAATTACTCACTTAGGTTTTCAAAGTACAACTTCTGTCCAGGGGGTCTCTGGCAAGGAAAGATGGTGACTCACTCAAAATTAGATCTTGGCCCCAAGCAAGTACACCAACACCCTTCAGAATCACAGGAGATATACCCTATGAATTGCCACGCCTCATCCAGGGGGGGAGCAATAGGGATACTAAGTGACCACCTCCTTTGTTCCAGAAACCAACAAGACACATACAGACTTTTGGTTTTATCTCCTCTACTGTACTTGCCACATAAATAATAATTGCCTCTATGAATTTGTTATTGTTTTCCCATTCCAAAGACATGTTGCACGCCCTGCCCACGATCCAATAGGACGGACATCACAAGTCCTGCCACACGGTTTAAGTTGTGCAACTCATGTTTGGGCTTAATTAAAAGATTGGGCTTGTCCCATTCCAAATATAATAAAAAATGAGGCTTAATTATTAACCTGTGGGTAAGTATGAACGTTTCACTTGGATAAGATACTGGAACACAAGGATCTTCATGAAACAAATCCCATTACCATTTCAAAGGATTGAACTATCCTTTACAAGGTACATGCCAAATGGATGAAGAGACATTCAGACTTTTCCCAAGTGTAGAACCTCACACCTTGCAGACTTCACATCCATATAGTAAAATCCTTTTCACATTGCTATGCCATTCACACTACCCCTTCTGTCATCTGACCTCTGTGGGGGTCCCAGCTTCAAAAGATGTAACCCCTGTTGACCTCAGCAATAGCATCTCTGTAATTTGTGCCATTTACTACACAAATTACATTAAAAGATGATATTCCATAGTGTAATAATAAATTATACACCCTTGTCGTGACAGTCGTGTCTCCAGTCTAGGGGGAATGCCCTTTCCAGTCTGTTTGCGAGATTGTCACGTAGTTTTATTCCTAGAGCCTGGGTTTTCGTGACATTTAGCTTGTAGTATGATACTGCCCCGTACTCTTGGGTTCTCGTCATCAGTTTTGGTAGGGAGATTATGGGGTGTGTTAATGTTACTAGGATATCATCCGTGAACAAATTAAGCTTGTATTCGTTGTCCCCCAGGTGTACTCCTTGTATGTCTGTGTCAGCTCTGACTGCTGCCAGGGGTTCCAGTGCTAGAATATAAAGTAGCGGTGATAGAGGGCACCCCTGTCGCAATCCATTGGTGATGTGTATTTGTTTGGATACAAACCCAGAGTTTAGGACTCTGGCTGTGGGGTGGGAGTAAAGTTCTATTACGGCATTTATAAAGGTTGGGGGGAATTTTTATTTACCAAGCACCGCCAGCAAGAATAAGGCCAGTTGAGCCTGTCAAAAGTCTTCTCTGCATCCAATGATAGAAGTATCCCCCCCTCTCCATTTCCGATCAGGCTGTACAACAGGTCAATTACCTTCCTGGTGTTGTCCGAACCCTGTCTGCCTTTTGTAAAGCCCACCTGATCATCATGGATTAATGTCGGGATTCTGTTAGCTATTCTGTTGGCTTGTATTTTTGCATAAAGTTTAATGTCCATGTTAAGTAGTGAGATTGGTCTGAAGTTTTGGCTACATGTGGGTGGTTTCCCTGGTTTAGGCAGCGTAACTATGTGTGCACCCAACATCTCCGCCGGTGCGTCCGCTTTGAGAGTGATTGCATTGAATAAGTTTGTTAAGTGTGGGGCTATGGTATGTGCAATTTTTTTGTAGTAATTGTTGGGGAACCCATCTGGGCCTGGGGCTTTCCCGCTTGGTAGGTGGGATATGGCCTGGAGCACTTCTGTTACTGTGATGTTGTCTTGTACCATAGCTATTTGTTCCTCTGTCAGTGATGGTAGAGAGACCCCTGCTAGGTACTTCTCTATCCTGTCCATAGTTGGTTGGCTTGTGTCAGCATCTTTCCCCAGATTGTATAGAGATGAGTAGTAATCCGCAAAGTCATCCCCAATGTCTTTGGGTGTCACCTTCTTTTCCCCTGCGTGATTTTGGATGAATGGGATCTTAGTGTTCGCGCTTCTGTGTGACAGTCTCCTGGCTAGTAATTTGCTTGCCCTATTACCCTGTACGTATTGTGTTGTCCTAAGTTTTCTAAGGTGATACCCTGTTTTTGCCAGGTCGTGTTCTTTAATTTCCCCTAGTTTCTCCTGAATTTGTCGTTTAAGCTCAGGAGTTGGGGTCAGCTGGTTTTGTTTGTTAAGATTATACAGTGATTTTAGCCAGTGCTTCGTTTTAGTTTGGGACTCACGTTTTAGTGTGCTTTTTCTAAGATTTTTGACAATACTGGGAGCAATGATATTGGGCGATAGTTAGAAACCAAAGTAGTGTCGCCACTTTTATGGACAGGCACTACTCTTGCAGTCTTCCAAAGTTTGGGTATGTATCCAGACACCAAGGATTCGTTAATTAGGGTTGTGACAGGTTTAGCAATTGCCGGCGCACTGACCTTCAACGGCATTGCTGGGATTTGGCCAGGTCCAGGCTGGTTTTTCATTTTTAGATTATTAAGTGTTTCATAATCACACTAATAGGTACAGATCTCAAATTGAACTTCTTCTTGGGTCTTTGCAAATTTAGTGGGGCCCAATCCACATTTGTAGTTTCGGGATGTGTGTAATTTATTAGCTTGGCAATCAGAGTGGTGGAGCATCCAACAAAATAATTGTTAAAGGCATTTGCTACATCTAAGGGACGTTGAAGGGTTTGCGTATCCACTTTGACAGTGGAGAGTTGGGAGTGGATTGGGGGAGTTTGTAAGTTATTTATGACTTTCCAAAAGTTTCTATGTTAGATTATTGTCCAGATTGTCACAGAAATATTGGGCCTTGACCAATTTTGTTTGTTTTGTGCATATATTTCACCATTGTTCATATACACAGTGATCGTTCATAGAGCTAGTACGGTTGAACTTTGACTACAGTGAATCCTGAAACTGGTACATTTGAATGAGGTCAGCTGTGATCCAATTTATATGTGCCCCTTTTACTCTCACCCAGGGGCGTACCTAGAGCATTTGACACCCGGGGCGGGCCCTATTTTTGGCATCCCCCCTCAACTTTAAATGTAAAAAACAACCAAAATGTATTTTTTATGTATTTAGCACTGAGCACTGTTTGTGTGTTTGAATGTATGCATGTTTTTGTATGGAGTATGTGTGAGTTAATGTAGGGGTGTGTTTGCATGTAGTGTTGGCGTTTGAATGCAAGCATGCATTTGTGTGTTGTGTGGTATTTGAATGCAGTGGTATGGTTATATATAATGGTGGGGTTTGTATGTAGTGTTGACATTGAAATGCATGAGTGTATTTGTGTGTAGTGTTGGCGAGATTTTGAGATGTCTGCACATATAAACATACATGGGCATACACACATGCAGATACATATACACACATGCAGATACACAGAAACACAGTCACACATAGATACACACAGACACACATGCAGACCCATATTTCTTGTTGTGGGCTGGCTGACACCTCTTAATTTCAATCTTTGTTTAGCAGATAAACCCTCTATTTGCTATTCTTATGTGGGATTGCCATATTTAAGGACACCAAATAAGGTGCTATCTGCTAAACAGCACCCTCATTTGGCATCTTTAAATATGGAAGTCTCACATACAGGCACCAATTCAGGGAATTATCTACTAAACAGCTAAAAGATCAAGATAAAAAAAAAAAAAAACCCTGTTTAGTAGATAAATCCCTTATTTGTTATCCTCACGTGGGATTGCAATATTTAAGAACACCAAATAAGGGAGCTATCTACTAAACACATACACAGAGATACACATAATCACAGATATACACAAACACAATCACTGACCCACACACATACAATCACATACACACACAAACATTACAAACATACACAAAATTAATAATTAGGAGGTCCACCCAGCCTCCCTACCTTGCTCTAGAAGGGCTGGAGTGGATCCTCAGTCCCTGGTGGTCAGTGGTTGCTGCTGGGATCTCTGTGCTCTTCCTGTACAGGTCCATCGCATGCCCTGTAATGACGCAGAGGCCGCAATGACATCATATCCCGGCTGCCGACTCACTGCAGGGCAAAGACCGTCAGACACAGTCAGATGCACACAGTCACTCACACACAGTTACAGGCAGACAGTCACACATACACACACACAGTCACAGGCAGACAGTCACACAAACACACAATCACAGGCAGACAGTCACACATACACACATAATCACAGGCAGACAGACACACACAATCACACACACAAAGACAAACACAGGAAGACAGTCACACACACACACACACAGTCACAGACAGTCATACACATAATCACAGGCAGACAGTCATACACACACACACAATCTCAGGCAGACAATCACACACACACCCACAATCACAGGCAGACAGTCACACACACACACACACACATATTGACACACAGTCACAGTCACACACACACACACAGTCACACACACATAATCACAGTTACACACAGCACACACTCTCTCACTTACAGTAAGCTTGGGCTGAAGGAGGAGTGGATTCAGTCCCTGCTGCGGGAAGCAAGGACTCCTTCCTGCTTCCCCTTTGTGTGAGCAGTAAGAGGCTGCATTTAGCACCGCCCCCACATCCGGTTTGGCTCCACCCCCAGATCTCCGTTCAGGTTTCCTGCTCCTGTTCCCAGCCCCTGCGTGTGAGCTGTGTCAGCTGCCCGGCGCCCCTGCTGGCCAGCCCTGGTGGCACCCCCCTACCTGTTGGCACCTGGGGTGGACCGCACCCCCTACGCTACTCCCTTAGTACACAACTACTCTCACCTTACACAGCGGGGCATGCAAATTCCAAACTTATTGGAGTTCAAACTGAAAGAATTCAACTGCACAGTCTAGATCTAGGATTAGGTTTAATCTGTGCCAAGGGAGGTTCTTGACGTCATTTAGAAAGGATTCAATATTATATTTTTTGAAGGAACTGGTGATTTTAACCTTGGGAGAGAATTTAATAGTAGGGATGAGAGAACCCGAACATTACGAACTCGAACATTTCAGTAACAGTTCGTGTTCGAGTTCGGTGTTCGGCGATTTAATGGCGTGTTTTGAAAAGCTGCAGGGCAGCCAATCAACAAGCGTTTGACTTGTGTGCCCTTAGAAGCCATCACAGCCATGCCTACTAATGGCATGGCTGTGATTGGCCAGTGCAGCATGTGACCCAGCCTCTATATAAGCTGGAGTCACATGAGCTCTTATTGGTGTAGGGAGAGGATGCTGCAGCTGTGAGGGACAGATTAGGAAAGAATTCTGGTGTTGAATCTGCAAACTACAGCGATTAATTTTGTGGGTGCTATACTTTGTACCCTGCCCTGAGCTCAGTGCCACAGAGAAATAAGCAGTCTGTTTGCTAGGGGGGCACTTGCAACTGCATGTGTGCCAGGCACATTACTTTAATCCTGTTCTGGTAGCTCAGTGGGCAACATCTAGGCATTTTTAAATATTTCTGTGACAATGCAGTTTGACAAAATCTGAGAGTCAAATAGAACCATCAAATACTGTGGTTACATCGCAGTTTGAAAAATTCACATTTCTTTGGTGCTAAAAAGTACATTTGGGGCATGCATTTCATATCTGAGAGTAAAATAGAAACATCAATAACTGTGGTTACATCACAGTTTGAAAAATTAATTTTTTTTTGGTGCACTTCATATCTGAAAGTCAAATAGAACCGTCAAATACTGCGGTTACATCGCACTTTGAAAAATTCACATTTCTTTGGTGCTAAAAAGTACATTTGTGGCGTGCACTTCATATCTGAGAGTCAAATAGAACCATCAAATACTGTGGTTACATCGCAGTTTGAAAAATTCACATTTCTTTGGTGCTAAAAAGTACATTTGTGGCGTGCACTTCATATCTGAGAGTAAAATAGAACCGTCAAATACTGTGGTTACATCACAGTTTGAAAAAAAAAAAATTTGGGTGCTGAATAGTACATTTGCTGCTTGCGGTGCACTTCATACCTGAGAGTCAAATAGAACCGTCAAATACTGTGGTTACAATGCACTTTGAAAAATTCTAATTTAAACCATCTGTTAGTTTGGTGGGTGAACGCAAAGAATGAGGAGAGCGTCAAATAAGGGACGTGGCCCTGGTCGTGGTGCTTCTGGTGTTGGTGGAGCTCCTGTTGCAGGGAGAGGACGTGGTCGATCTGTGCCAGCTACACGCACAAGTGAAACACCTTCCTCAGGTGCGAGTAGGTGACAGAACCTTCAGCGTTATTTGGTAGGCCCGAATGCCGGTCTACGAATGGTGAGGCCAGAACAAGTACAGACAATAGTAGATTGGATGGCTGACAGTGCCTCCAGTTCCTTCACATTGCCTCCCACCCGTCCTTCCGCCACCGAGGATTGCAGGGCATTTCTCTTTGCCTCCCCCTCCTACTCCGCTTCCTCCTCTTCTACCTCCTCATCTGGTCAGCGTAACACCTTCACCACCAACTTCAGCACAGCCAGGGGGAAACAACAGCAGGCTGTTTTAAAACACATATGTTTGGGGGGAAAAAAAACCACACCGCACAGGAGCTGTGGACGGTCATGGAACAACAGACCGATGAGTGGTTGTTGCCACCCAGCCTCAAGCCCGGCCTGCTGGTGTGTGATAATGGGCGAAATCTCGTAGCAGCTTTGGGCCTAGCCGGTTTGACGCACATCCCTTGCATGGCGCATGTGCTGAATTTGGTGGTGCAGAAATTCCTGAAAAACTACCCAGATATATCAGAGCTGCTGCAGAAAGTGCGGGCCATCTGTGCGCATTTTGGTGTTCTCACCCTGCTGCTGCTTACCTGTCTGCGCTGCAGCGTAACTTCGGCCTTCCCGCTCACCACCTCATATGCGACGTGTCCACGAGGTGGAACTCCACCTTGCACATGCTGGAGAGACTGTGCGAGCAGCAGCAGGCGATAGTGGAGTTTCAGCTGTGGCACGCTCGGGTCAGTCGCTCTGCGGAACAGCACCACTTCACCACCAATGAATGGGCCTCCATACGAGACCTGTGTGCCATGTTGCACTGTTTTCGAGTACTCCACCAACATGGCCAGTGCCGCTGACGCCGTTGTCAGCCTTACGATCCCGCTTCTATGTCTCCCTGAAAAACAATGCTTCGGGCGATGATGGAAAAGGATGTGGCACAGGAGGAAGAGGGGTAATTTCCACGAGTGGCTCGGAGTGTGGGTTCCTGCACCAGCATAGGCCAGGTACACAATTGTCCAGCCAGGGCACAGTTCTGGATGATTATGAGGAGGAGGAGGAACCATGTTCACAGCAGCTCGTGGGCATCACTGGAGCGTGGCTGGGGGGATACAGAGGACACAGATGATACACCTCGCACAGAGGACAGCTTGTCCTTGCCTATGGGCAGCACGGCACACATGAACGACTACATGCTGCAGGGCCTGAGCAACGACTGCCGAGTTGCCCACATTCTAACTTGTGCTGATTACTGGGTGGCCACCCTGCTGGATCCCTGTTACAAGGACAACTTGCCGTCCTTAATTCCCTCACTGGAGCGTGATCAAAAGATGCGCGACTACAAGCACTGCTGAGGGCATTCCCAACTGACACCAGGGGCCCAGTGGAAGCACAAGGCGAAGGCAGAGGAGGAGGAAGATGTCGCCAACGCAGCTGGGGCACCACCAGCACCTCAGAAGGCAGGGTTAGCATGGCTGAAATGTGGAAAAGCTTTGTCAGCACGCCACAACAACCTCTTAGCAGGAGGCAGCATTTCAGCAACATGGTGGAACAGTACGTGTGCACATGCCTACACGTACTGACTGTCCCATTCAACTTCTGGGTCTCCAAATTGGGCACATGGCCTGAGCTTGCCCTTTATGCCTTGGAGGTGCTGGCCTGCCCTGCAGCCAGTGTATTGTCTGAACGTGTGTTTAGCACGGCAGGGGGCGTTATCACAGAAAAAGCACAGCCGCCTGTCCACAGCCAACAAAGACAAGCTAACGTTTATTAAAATGAACAAGGCATGGATCCTACTAGACTTGCCTGTACCTTGTGCAGAATAGACATTTATACCGGCCTCACCTCGCCATTGTTATACTCAAGTGCACTTATTCTTTGTTTTCTTTTTTTATATGTCCCAATTTTTGGGGGGCTACCTTAGTTAAAAACAAACAAACAAAAAAAACCTAAACAAACAAACAGTGTTGGCTACCTCCTCCGCCTCAACACACACCGCCTCCTCAACCTCCTACTCCACATCCACCTCCTCCTCCTAGTTCAAGATTATTATTTTTATGTATTTTATGTTATTTTAAGTTATTTCCCTATCCACATTTGTTTGCAGGGCACTTGTCCTACTCTTACCCCCATTTTACTTCCTTTTGCAGCCCTCTGGCCCTTTCCAGGACTTTTTTTAGATCCATTTTAGTGCCCAAAAGTTCGGGTCCCCATTGACTTCAATAGGGTTCGGGGTCAAGTTCGAGTCCGAACTCGAACTTTTTGCTGAAGTTCGGCCGAACCTGGCGAACCCGAACATCCAGGTGTCCGCTCATCTCTATTTAACAGCCTTTATTTTGCGCATGCAGTACACTAAGCAGTGGTCACTGAAACTGTTAGGAAGAACACCTGAATCCTGGATTCTATCAGGAGAAGTGGAGAGAATCCAATCGAGCAGGGTATGGTTATGGCTTTTAATGTTTATCCAAGTTGGGGAGGAGATTAATTGTGTTTGCTGCAAAGTCTTAAATAGCGAGCAAGAACTATTATTTTTATGATTCAGCCAATCAATATTAAAATCTCCAAAGACCAACAGTTTACTTTTTTGGGGTTTTGAACTATGGTTTCACTGAGGATATGGGTTATGTCAGAAAGGGAATGCACTGGGGAGCTTGGTGGGCGGTAAGTTCTTGCAACAATGATTGATTTACTGCACGGGATCTCAATTGTGTCAGAAAGGAAATCAAAGGTGGCAGGAGAGCTAAAGTTTTGTAAAGGGGTGAACTTTATGGAATTGTCAACATAAATTACAATGCGGCCTCCTCTTTTTGCTCTGTCATTTCTATGGCATGAATACACATATATTGCAATGGTAGAGTCAGGTATTTTTGCGGTTAGCCACAATTCAGAGAGCACAATGATTTTGGACTTGTAATGTGAACACCATGCTTGCAGTGCATCGATTTTTGGTAGTAAGCTGCATTTATTACAGTGCACAAGGCAGAGGCCTTTTTAAGTTGGGAGGCTAGGAATGGAATCTGTTGGGCGATCAGGGTTAGCTTCTACATCATTTGCAAGAGCAGGTAACATGAGTAATAGGAATTTGGACATAATCTTAGTTTGCTAGTAATGCACTTGTAGGGTTTTGTACTTTTGTGGGGTGGGGGTTGGAGAGCTTGATTTCAACACTCTCCACCAGCACTCTGCAGATAAATTACAGCAACAAAGCATGCCATGATGTATAAGAATTTGGTTCTCAGTTTGTGGGGAGTGGGTGGTGGTAGGAACATGACAGGAGTGTGAAGAGGGTTACAAGGAATATTAACACAGTCAAATTTGGAGGTTACAAATAATGCATATACAGTATCTTACAAAAGTGAGTACACCCCTCACATTTTTGTAAATATTTTATTATATTTTGTCATGTGACGACACTGAAGAAATTACACTCTGCTAAAAATGTAAAGTATTAAGTGTACAGCCTGTATAACAGTGTAAATTTGCTGTCCCCTCAAAATAATTCAACATACAGCCATTAATGTCTAAACATTAATGGGTACACTCCTAAGTGGAAATGAGTACACTCCTAAGTGGAAATGTCCAAATTGGTCCCAATTAGCCATTTTCCCTCCCCGGTGTCATGTGACTCGTTATTGTGTGAATCAGGTGTGAATGGGAAGCAGCTGTGTTAAATTTGTTATTATCACTCTCACACTGGTCACTGGGAGTTCAACATGGCACCCTATGACAAAGAACTCTCTGAGGATCTGAAAAAAAGAATTGTTGCTCTACATAAAGATGGCCTAGGCTATAAGAAGATTGCCAAGATCCTGAAACTGAGCTGCTGCACGATGGGCAAGACCATACAGTGGTTTCACAGGACAGATTCCACTCAGAACAGGCCTCATCGTGGTTGACAAAAGAAGTTGAGTGCACATGCTCAGCATCATATCCAGAGGTCGTCTGGATATGATGCTGTTTGACACATGAGATGGGAGGGATTGGACAACTAGCAGACTGCACAAATGAATCAAGTTTGTCAGAGTAAAGGAAAAAAATACATAGAATGAGAATGCATTTTAA